ATGCTGTCTGTGAACAACAGGAAAAACTGAGTAACACCCAGATATCACCAATAGAAAATTTTTAAGGCTCTATACATACATATATGTGTGTGTGTGTGTGTGTGTGTGTGTGTGTGTGCGCACACTGGAAAATGTTGACAGAGTCATAAATTAAACCTAATACTGAGAATCCTGCCGTAATGGGCATGTGTGCACATCCCCTTTATGTTTTGTATAAAACCTCCAGATGACCTTATTTTCATGTGAGTACCAGATTTTTTATTTGAAATTAACTGTTAGTTTCAATCACAAGAGAAAATTTTTATACTTACAAGATATGAACAAAATGAAAAAACTTCACTATTGTCTTTTTTATACATGTTTTACTGTAACCGATGGTGGGAGATATGGATCTTGTTTCTTAGGGAAACTCCCTATGTGATTTGGTAATTCTTGTGCATAGTCAGTTATTTGGCTTATCCCTTAAAATATCATCAACTGCTAGCAATATTTTGTTTTTCTAAATGCGCTATGTAGTTGCAGTAATGATGTCACAGAACTTATGGCATGTTTAATAGAAAAGGTCACTAAGGAAAAGTGCCAGTTCCAGCACTTGGGTCAGGCATTGTTACAGGCTTGAGGATGAGTGGCTGGAAAGTTGTCTGATGAAAAAGGACCCAGAGGTGCTGCTTGACAGCTACTGAACGTGAGCCAGCAGTGTGCCAGGTGACCAAAAAGGCCAGTAGCACATGGCTTGTATCAGGAATAGCGTGTCCAGCAGGACCAGGGAAGTGAGTGTCCTTCTGTACTTGGCACTGGCGAGGCCACACCCTGTGTCCCATGTCCAATTCTGAGCCCCTCAGTTAAGGAAGGACACTGAGGTGCTGGAGTGAGTCCAGAGAAGGGCAATGGAGCTGGTGAAGGGTCTGGAAGGTAAGCCCTATGAGGAGCAGCTGAGGGAGCTGGGGGTGTTTAGCCTGGAGGAAAGGAGGCCCAGGGGTGACCTTATTGCTCTCCACAACTCCCTGAGAGTGTAGCCAGGTGGGGGTTGGCCTCTTCTCTCACACAGTCACTGACAAGATGAGAGGACATAGTCTTAAGCTGCACCAGGGGAGGTTAAGGCTGGACATCAGGGGGAATTTCTTCACAGAAAGTGTTGTCAAGCATCAGAATGGGCTGCCCAGGGAAGTGGTGGAGTTGCCACCCCTGAAGATGTTTAAGGAAAAACTGGATGTGGCACCTAGTGCCATGGTCTAGTTGACAAGGTAGTGTTCACTCAAAGGTTGGACTCGATGATTTCAGAGGTCTTCTCCAACTTAATTGACTCTGTGGTTCTGTACGTTCTTTTTTCTTCTGGGCTTAGGGCTCAATATGGTGAAAGTATAATAAAATGTTATTTTCTTATTAGCAATCCAAAACCATGAAAAGTTCAAATAACTTAAAAAGTCACAGGTTTGGATTTTTGCCTTCAGGAGGAGCTATTTCTTTAGTATTAGGAGAGCCATATCTTAATGGTTTTGGTTCTGCAATTTCTTTGCTAAGCTTCCATGCACGTCTCTGCAACTGTGTCCTCTGACTGGTGACCCTGACACAAGGGGTGGGAAACATCATGTGGGGAAAAAAATGCACTGTTACAGAGCAGGATGACAGTAGGCATGTAATATTGGCATTGCTTCATGGTAAACCCATTTATAATAAACATGTAGTGTGGATTTTTCTTATATGGTGTCATACTAAAACAGGCTCACATTCTCCATATCCAGGCAGATAGAAAAGAAGAAAAAAACAGAAGAATATTTTCTGAGAAACAAGCCTATCTCTGGGCACTGTGAAAATAAACCCAGTTATACTGACATAATTTACACCATGCTCCCAGCATCAAGCTATGCTGTACTGGCAAATTGCTTTTAACGTACAGTCCACAGATCCTTGGCATCCTCAAAAAAGTAAGCAAGCATACTGTTCAGAAAGCTTAAATTCATCACAAAGGTGTCAATAAATCAGAGAAGGCTGAAAATCTTTCTATGACAATTCTGATTATTTCAAGTGCAAACGGGACATAATCCTTGTAGATTATCCTGACATGAGCCAGCTTTCTGCAGAAGAGTCAATCAGGATTTAATGCAGGAAAGGACAGGGTAACTGTGGTATCAGTGAAGAGGTGAGGGACCTTTATTGCAGCATCGAGGAGGATAATGCTACCACTGTCATAGCGGGGAGCACTGGATTCTACCCTGAGAGCTGCAGTAAAGCAAAAGAGCCAACTCAAGAGCACCTGTCTATTGAGTCTGAACATGAAAATGCAACTCTGAAAAAGCAAAAAGCCAGTGGTCCAGATGAAACAAGCACATGGAGAAGGTGCAGCATGACGAGACAAGAGCAGTAATGGATGTTATCTAGATGGTGAAGGCAGAGGTCATAAACTCATTTGTGTTTTTTGTTCCTGATGAAGACTTCTCTGTGTTCATCTCCTTGTACCGATTTCATTCCCATGGTAACGATCGTATTGTCTACCTGAACTGGGAGTCAATGCCCTCTTTCATGCAGTCTTGTCACGGCTTACTACTGCCTTGCTTTGTCCTTGCTTTTTTGGCGACGGCTATGCTGGAGCAGATTATTCAATTCAGATATTCCTGATTGTTTCCTTTCCATTTCTGAACAGGCAGTCCTTATTTTTGCCCTTTTTCGTTTGGGAGTTAATCAAATGCCTCTTCTGACTTCCTCAAAAATATCTGCTTGTGTTCTATCAGTTATGAAGATTAATCAGATCATACATATTTATGAGATTACCAAAAAGTTGTGTCATTGCTGCTATAAGCCTAAGATACTGTTGTCACTCCAGTCCACAAAATTCATATGCTACCCCAACCCACAGCCAATTTCCCAGCGTATTTCATACTGCAGGACCAGTAGCCTAATCTACTTTGTGCTTCAGGAAGAGTGTGAGCAAGACTGAAGCGTTATAAGTTGTTCTTTGCCATAGTCGTGGTGAAATGCTCGTGGTGGAAACTCACAGATGAGTGCAGAGATTGGATCATACTTAGTGATAGAGAATAACACTAAAAATATCCATGGGGATTAAGAAAAACAAAAGCAGTGTGAAAGTTCATCGTTAAAACTATACAATAGAGCCAGAGTGAGCCTCAGATTGAATAGAACCTCCCCCACCTCCAGGTCCCAAGAAACTCTTTCAATGGCCTGCAACAGATTCCTTGTGTGGTGCTGGCACAGTGGCTAAAAGGATTCCAACTGCTCTCCTCCCCTTTCCCTTGGGGCTCCATGCAGAGGAGATAGAATCTCCTCACACTCCAGGGACAGGACCAGGTGATGCGGAAGAAGGGCCTACACAGCACTTGGCAATGAGCAATTCTTTTAGGGAATGCTGGGAGACCTTGTTCAAGGTGGCTGTGAGTCCCTCTCCTGTGGGTGGGAAGTCTGGGTGCTTCACCCCTTCTTGGCCACTGTTAGGCCCAGCGTGCTTTAAATTTATCATGAGGCTTGGATTTCCAGGGCAGCAAGGTTCAGAGAAGATCCTACGTGGACTTTTGAGGATTGCTCATTGAAAGCTCTACCTAGAAGAGTATCATAGGCTTTCTCTGTTGTGTAATAGTGTGGCAGATAGCACATCCCAAGAATGCCTTTTCTAAAGAGCAGACTCAATCCATGTTTGCATCAAAACTTTTATTTCTTGAATAAAGAAAATTATACATCTTTTTACAGTAAAAGATCTCAAAGCCTTCCCAAGGTGGCTAATACCATTTTTTATTTAGATGTTTGTAATTTTGCAGATAAGCAATAAAAGGCCAAATAGTCAAGCCTGCCTTTAACCTGTGGTCACAGAGGAAACCAGTGTCAACCCACCTTACTTTCAGCCTGAGATGTCTTTAACTATGCTTTCCTATGGCTTCTGTAAAACAGAAGTAATGCTCTAGTCATTAAGGCTGCTTAGAATGTTACAGCTTTTTTTTTCTAAAACCAGAGTATTACTATTGCAATTCAGGAATCTATACACTCAGTTGAATTCTGGAAGTCCTTTTCAAAATCGTTCTCTGATGTTTGGTTTTTCTGTTGAGGCTATTTTTAAGCAGGACAACAGCTCTTTCAGTGTAAAGAACAAAATGGGCTTTCTGTAGAAACAGCTGTGGATTGCTATTCAAGCATCATTTTTTTGTGCGTTTTTGTGGGAGGCTTTTTTTGTTGTGTTTAGTTTTCCTTTGTGTGTTTGTTTTTTCTTTTTTTTTTTTGCTTGTTTGTTATTAAACAGAAATACAGCTGTCATTAAAATTTTTTAAAAAACCCAACAACTCAAAACTGCAGCCAGTACCTATATTTCACACTAAAAGTCAGTTTGGTTTTTGAAACAAAAATGTGTTTGTATTTACCTGGGTTTTATCTGTTACTCACAAACACAGGACTGAGCAGTGACATGCCCTCTCTTGCACCACTGTGCTCATCAGGACTACCTTTATGAACAGGTATTTTCCTGGAGCTGGAGGATAGGATGAGAAAGATTCTGCTACAAACAGTGAAAGTGATTTGAAGCGTTGGGAAATGCCTCTCAACTAGATACTGAAAGAGGACTAATGAGAAAGGAAACAAAAAGTGACATGTAGAACATTTAAAAAACCAGTGTTTGATACAGAACGGATTGCTGGGGCCTTAGCAGTTTTAAATGAGTATGCTGAGTTCTAAAGAGGCCAGGAGCTGACTGTTAGACAAACAAGAACAAGTCTGCAGCTGCAGGAATGCAGAGTTCAGCAGAAAGCGATGTGAGAAAAAGGTGATAACAGAAACTTTTCCCAGGAATGTGTGCTTTAAGGATCACCAATGGATGGACTGCTTGAGGCGCGTGGACAATGTAGACTAACCAATCGTGGAGGTGTGCTGTGCTCGTGATTGCATGTCCAAGACTCAAAAGAATATATATTGTGTGGCCTTCTGATAATAAAACAGATTTGAATCTGCATCTCATAGATGTGTCGTTCTTTCCCGCTCGCGTGAATGCCCACGGCAACGGATAATCTAGGAACATTCCTTCCAATGCATAATCTAAAAAATACACTAAAAAAATATTGAAAAGGTGCAACTTGAAGCTGATAAAAGTGAATATTTAGCTGCAGCTAAATCTTCAGGTCAGGTTCAAAAGTGGACTGTACAGCTATATGGATAAGAAAAAGGTGGAAATTTCATGGAAATATCCTAGAAGTGCAATGATTAGAAATAGCCTCAATGTGATGCACAAGAATTATATGTTAAATATAAACCATGTTTGTGAGGGTCTCTACTCTTATACTTTGTGATGTAATAAACCTCTCCTGTTAAAACTTACGGATAATTTCTCTGGAAGCATGTGATTTTATATTGCTTACCAGAAGGCTTTCCAAACTGACCTTCAGAGTAGTGGAGATTGTCAAATAGTGTGTATTGGACAGGAAGGACTTCTGATTTGATTTCTGTAGCACTGAAGCAGAATACATAGTTTTGAGAGGAAGAGAACATGTCAGAGATGGATGGTTATTCCTTTTAATGAATCTCAGACTTTAGGACTTGTGTGTGTGTATGGGTTGTCCATGTGTAGCATTTAGTCATCATGTAATTTATAATAGTGGAGACTTTACATATTCATCATTGGACATTAGTCTAAGATCGCTGGGGTATGTAAGCCTAAATTTTTGTGAAATAAGTGAAAGTTTTAACAGATGGATATAATGTAATTTTAATATGCATTAATGGTCATGTTGACACGGGACTGGCAGCTTTTGAGTCTATTTGAAAAGTTGCTAAAGATTCTAAACTTTCTGCTGTCTGTGAAGCTTGTAAATGATCTGAGATCCATCACCCCAGGCGAAGAGCTGCTTTTCTTTAGGATTGTAATGTATAGTGGAATGGCTCCCCTGACGTTTTGGGAACTGCAGTGCTGGGATTTCATAGCTATTTACAACATCCAAAACATCATAAACACATCGTATGCGAGAGGTGCCTCTACTAGGAGAGTTGTAGACAACGTAGAGTGTGTTGCATGCCATGAAAGCTGCTTCAGCGTCCTTGCTGCTGCAGGGTGTATCCCAGGTGTGCTCCACTGCCATGGTTATGTGGTTGATTTTAGTAATGACAATGTTTCCTCCAGTCTCTGGCTCTGCATGAATTGCCCAGAGCCCTTGCTCATCAATGGCAAGATCTATTTTTGTATGTGGGGAAAGCTGATAGGCAGGAATCCTTCCAGCCCCTGGTAGTAGCATTTGGTCAGCTACTTTTCTGCTCTGTATATTGAATTTAGTAATCTCATTTAAGGAGCCATATCTATGATAGAACAGGAAACCCTGATATATGACGTGGCCAGTTCCTTCCCAGGGAAATGGCAATGTGACTCTGCGAGCACTTAGTGTCTGATTGTTTTCCATGAATGTCATTATATTTGCAAATTCCAAAATAACATTATTTACAGAACCATTTAATAAATAAATTTTTGTATGCTTTTTGCCAGGATCTTTCATCCAAGAGCCATGCTTATCTCCAGTCTTCTTAACTATCTTTAGGGACTTAATACTTGCAAGCATGTGATCACAACCTGTATGGAAACAACCAAAGGAAAAGAAAAATTAGAATATCTGTGAATTTTCTGGTTTTCATTCTTTGAAATACTTAGTTTCCTTTCAATTCTACTCTAAGACCGGGTCAATGTATCAGTAGATGTCAGCAGTGTGCTCTAATAAATAGTGCTGAAGATAGTTTTATATGATATATTCCTGCTAAGAAAACTGTATTTTCAGCTACCCATAGTGTGTTGGGCTTTGTTCTATTAGACCAGTGGTATCCAAAAGGGATTCCATTTGTGTACCTGAGAGGAGACCAAGAGCACAGTTACCAATTCTGTGATTATTCTTGTCAGCTCTTTTACAGGGTTATAATTTTTACTTCGGAGAACTGACTTCTGATTTAGGTTAACACAGTAAAATAATCAAATTTATCTCCTATTGAAGGCATGCAATCAAAATCCATTTTCCTGATATGCCACATGTATAATATTTTTCTTTCAGGACTTCTCTTATCCTCACTTAGCCTTTTTTTATACATTTATATTATAAAGACAAATAAAAATAGATCAGCCTAACAGAAAGCCAAAACACTGGGCTATCTTCCTACTCCCATTCCCAACACCTGCAGCACAAAGGAACTAGAACAAATGCACAGATCATAAAACCAGGAATGTGTATACATACTTTAAAGAACTGGCATGGTGTCTGTGTTATCAATTCTTGTGTGAGGGGCATGGCTGGTGGGATTGCATAGTTGTTTACCTCACTATAGGGTTAAAATTGGCGTCAGCAGAGAGCCAGTCATTATTTTGGCTCTGCTGCATTTTGATATGCACTCTGCATAGACGTTTAAAACCAAAAAGCATCAAGCTTGTGAAGACTCGGGCTTTTAGACGCTAAGATCTTTATCAAGCACCATCCTTTCCAGCAAAAACTCTATTGCAAAACATATTAACAAGCTTGTTTACCAAAGGCACCCATAAATTACAAGACACTGTATTTGAAGTTTAAAGAACTGCTTTCAGTGAAGTGCAACCATTTCAGTAAACAGAACAAACTAAGCTCTAAGGGAGAAAGTTCTGGCAGCAGATGAAATAGAAAAAGCAAAACCAGCCTCCCTATTTGGCCTGATATGAACCTATCAAAGTCAGTGGCAAGATTCCAGTTGCCTGTAGAGAGCAATCTTTATGTCTTTTGTGTGTACTGATACCCTCTAATCAAAGAATTTGCATATTACTGCTTCAGCATGGAGTTTTTTGGTTTTGGTTGGTTGTTGTTTGTTGTTTTTTTTTTCAGAAGTTCTCACTCTGGAAGCATCATCTCTGAACAAGAAACAATAGCTTTCCCAAAAGTAACGTTTATTGGTTAAACAGATTCTCAAAACTTAAAGCTGCTGAATTAAAGTACTTAACCAGCATGAGCAACATCTTCCTCTGCAGGAGAAATAGCCCGGTTACTATCACAAATCTATGGAGTGTCTCTCTTCTCAAGAGAACATTTTTAACTCTCTTTGGTTTTTATAACAGCTTGGAGGGAGACTGGGAAATCGAGACATTCACAGTAAGCAAAAATTTTACCAAAATTTTTCCACAGTTTCTGTAATGATACCTTTGAAGCCCACTGTTTTCAAAATGTGTGGAAAATAATTTTGCATTTCCCACCCAAAACAGGATGAAATATTGGCTATTGCATGTAAAAACAGAGATTCTACATAAGTGTTTTCAAGTCTGTGTGAACTTAAACCAAAACCATTAACACAGCTGGACTTAGAAAACACTTTTCTGCCTGAGTTTTGGAGTGACTCAGCAAAAATAGTCATAGATTCTGGTTAAGATATGATGTGATAGAAGCAGAGATGTTATTTGCTAGAGTTGAGGGTCTTGCTACTTTTTCCAAGTACTGTAAAATCTACACAGGGATTAGTTTTGCCATCGACTTCAATGAGGAAAGCTTCTGATTAGTACTGACAGGAAAGTAGAAGTTGAAACTAAAGTTGCTAAGAACTGCTACAATAATTTCCAGTAAGGGAAAATGGAAAGTAATTTTTTTCCCCCTGAAACTCTCAGAAAGATATAATTTTCAGTGTCCTAACCACAATCAGTTTAAAAATTCCTCAATTTTTTTGCCTCTCTAAAAAAATTGCCTAATGTTGAAAAGTTCTGTATATGAACAACAGAAGTATTAATAGTCAACACACTCAATTGTGGTGTATGATTAAAGCTTAGCAGCAGAATTAGTGACTGCTTTTGTAATCATCTGCATTAATACTGTTTTGCTAGAAAAGTTCAAGAAAGAAATTGTACACTTATTTGTAAAATTAAATCAGTCTAATTCTATTGAACTTAGTGGGATTATATAAATGATGATGCTAAAGGTCTTTCACCTATCTTAAAAAAAAAGCCAACTGTTTATGCCTTATTGTTTACTTTTCATTTCTTACTCCTATGAAAGGAAAACAGACTACTTTATATATGTCTGCAATATATAATTTACATCTATAAATTAACTTTTTAAGGTAAAAATACTCACAATTTTTTTTTAAGTATGGATTGTATATATATATGCTTCATGCTAGGTACCTTAACATTTAATTTTCAAATCAGAACTGAGCTTTGCTTATGTCTAAGCCAGAGTGCTCTCCTGATAAAGTACATAGGAGGGGAGACAGAGAGAAAAAATAACAGAGGAGGACAGTAAACCAGATGCAAATTGTGAATGAAGTGTTTATTAACTCACTTTTGAGTTGAGATTTTGACCCTGGCCCACTCCAGAAAACAAAGGCCACCATCAGTTCCTTATTATAGCTGCAGTACTCAGAAATGTGTATCTTCAGAGGATTTTCCATTACTTTATAATAAAAAGCAGCTTCCAAAGAATTAATTTGATATGCAGTTAGGATATCTGCAAAACAAATGTTTGACTTGTACTTTCTTCCCTCCCTCTCCCATACCTTTTTTGCATATGCATAGTTTTTATATGTCTGGTATTTACACAGCCAAACCCCCTTGCAATTGTCTGTGGTATTCACATAGCTAAAGGAAATATGTTATTGTGATGGTTTTGGTCTAGGCCTTTCTAGTAACCAGCTTGTAACCAAGGAAGTGGCCATGTACCCAGTATTCCATACGATTTTTACGTAAATCAGAGTATAAATAAGTTGGAGATTAGAGACCTCACTCTCTTCTCTTCCAGTGAGGTTCAGGAGCAGTGGGTCTTTGCGTTAGTCTCGCTTATCTAGAGGCTGAGGCCTTCAGCATCCACTGGCCTACCACGTGTGAGGTTTGGAAAGTGCTGGCTGTGTCTGCCAATCTTGCTTTTCTAAGGGACGTGGTGAGATTTGTTTTACTAGTTATTAGTATAATTCTTGAGTTTGATTGTGTATATCTTTTTGGTGTCCCTTTTTGTCCCCTTTTGTCCCTCTTTCCCCTTTCCCTTTGTGGGGTGTTTGGATTCCCTGCACTGTGTACATACCATCTTAATTGTATATACTGTAATGCACATAAATACATATTTTTTTATATAATTAGCTTGATTTCGGGTTCTTCAATTTTTATGTTTTTTTTTCTTTGCCCTAAGGGAAGAAGGGAGGGGGAAGGGGGTTGCTACTGTGAGTTTGGGCATTTGGCAGGGAGCCAGTTCTGAACTATCACAGATTTTTTGGTGGCCCATACAAGGAACGGCCATAAGGATTTTGAGATAACTGAGAGAGGTCTGCAGACAAAATAGGCTGACCATGTGTGCTGTAGTTGTGGTAAAATCACAAAAATAGAGATAAGTATTAATATAATAGTGATGTTTTAATTTTTAGTAGAGATATTTTAATTATGTTTTGTTTATTTATAGTTATATGTTAATTGTAGAGTTAAGGATTTCTTAAAAAAGTAATTCGCAGAGGTGAAGGGGGGAATTGTCATGGTTTTGCCAAACTCCCCCCCCCCAGTTGGGGCTAAAAATAGTTTTTTCCAGGTGAATTTCTGGAGCAAAGCCAATCACAAGTTTTAGTAGCGCCTCTGCCAATTACATATTTAAGAGAACAGAAGAGGAGGTTGTGGTGCAGATGAAATTACTAGCTGTAGCCATGTAGGAGCAGTGGCAGACCCCAAGTTGGCCAGGGCCTGCTCCTCCCCCGCACCTGGGCTGGTGGCAGGTGTGGCACTGAAGCCCCCCTTCTCTCCTGTAAGAGAGTAGAGAAAAAAAACCAACCAAACTTTAGAGAAGAATCTGGACAAGATGTGCTGCAAAAGGAATTCCAGAGAGAGAGAGAGAGAGAGCACAGCCTTCAAGGTCAAAGCTGGCAGCAGCAGGAGAGAGAAGTTCGAAGGGGTGGGGGCTGCTTCTCTCCCCTCTCTCACACTCTCTCTCTCCCTTCAGCAGGGAAAAAACTGAAAAATAAAACACTGCCACCTTTGGAAGATTATTGGGGTTAGGAGACACCCCTGGAGCTCATAGAGGAACTTGTGAATGCACGAGGAAGCTCATGAAGAGAGACTTACACTGGAGCAGAATGGCTTGGGTAAGATGTTGGGATCTGAGTGAGGGATCCACGCTAGTGCAGCTGAGTTTGTGACCCTGAGGGACAGCAGAGAATGGAAGATAGACCTACATCAGAGAAGTCTATCAAGGACTGTTCTCCCGTGGGAAGGGACCCCACAGGAAACAGGAGTGGACTCAAAAGCCATTATCCCTTGTGACTCTGTGGTGAAGATCCATGGTAGGCAAGTGTCCCCTTGCAGTCCATGGAAGACCCTTCAGGGCCTGGGTAACCCCCCAGCCTCTGATCTTAGCCCAGGATGGGGGTAGGCCCAGCCTTGAGGCCGACATAGAAGAGAGAGAGAAAAAGAAACAGTTCCAGCTCTGACGAATCGGAGTTGTCGTCCTAGAGATAATACTTTAGAGTGCTGCAAAGTTGTTTAAAAGACCTGGAGCTCTGGAAAGAGAGAAAGAGACTACTTCTCCTCCTGAAGTGATACAAAGTGGGGAAGGGTATTTTTGTAAATACATAACACTTATACCTAATTAGAATTGTAGTAGCTATGGTTCTTTAGTTTTTGTCTTGCTAGTAATAAATCTTAATATTATTCTCCCCAATCAGGTCTCTTTTGTCTGCATAAACCTTCTCTCAACTTATAGTAATTGTGTGAGGGTTTTTGAGAGAAAAATTAGCCCAGAGCAAAACCATGACAGTTATCCCTCTATCAATATTCACACATTGGTTAGGGACTGGCTCATTCACATCAAAGTTCTGAAAGCAAACTGTTCTTACTTGCATTAAGCATGAGGTTAAGTTTCTTTTTTTCTTCTGCCTCTTCAAGTAGCTGCTGTTTCACTAGGTCTTCGTGCACTTCTATACATAGGTTAGAATCTGTGACAGATCCAAAATAGTCAATGTCCCTTTGTGCTCGTTCAATTCTTGTGAGCAAATTCTGTACTTCACTTTTAACTTCAGCCTTATAAGAGTTCAGTCCTGCCAGGCGCGACAGTACCATCTTTGAAAAGTCTCGGAATTCGTCCACATAATCCAGTATGTCTTGGTTGCATTTTTCCAGCCTCTTCTTAAGTTAGAACACAGGAAAAAAAACCACATGGATATACGTGTATATTCTGTATACATTACAACATCATTCATGATTGCTTTAAAAAAACCCATGCTATTCTCTCCTGTCCAGTCCTGCCCCCCATCTATTTCAAACCAGTGGCTGTTGCTGGCTATCTGTGTGAAGAGGGCACAAGCATTCACAGGTCTGGACAAAACCCCACTTTTTTTGCCTTGATGTGTTTACTGACAGCCAGATACTTTGTTTTGCTGCTTAAAGAAGGAAAAGTGCTCCGATGGAAACCGCCAGAGGTACTTAAAGGTGCATAATCTATCATTACTTGCTTTTCAGAAACTTTGGAATTCCTCCTGTAGGACCACTGGTAAAGCAGTCTCAAAGTTTTCTGCAGATCTATCAACAGAAATGTTTCGCATAAATATGCCTCTTCTAATCAAGGCAGAATCTAGTGGAGCTATTTTACATACATTTAAAAGGAAAAATGAAAATACTGGTGTGCTATATTTGAGGAAGTTTCAGTTGTATGGGGTTTTTTGTTAGTTTTGGGGTTGTGTTTTTTTTTCTTGAGGTTCTTTTCTGTGTCAAATAATTGGTTAGATCTAAAAACCAAAACCAAACCTGAACATATTTCTTTTCACCTACATTCAAATTGATAATGTTTTCAGTGGTGGAGAATGTGATTTCTCTGTGGCAATGCAGCTGCTTCTGAAAAGATCATAGGTGTCCTGAAAATAGTAGCCCAGCTACCACTTCGGGAAGATGAGGAATTTGAGCCAATCTCTAAGCCCAAACACAGTCATAGAAGATCTAACTGCTAGAGTGGATGGTCTGGTTTGGTACTTCACGCATGTATTTTGGTTTTATGGTGGTGTTTGACTAGGGAATGTATGAGTTTCCTGAATGATTAGTGCAGTCTGCAAGTGTTCCATGTAAACTTAGTGGTGGTTTGTTTGCTTTGTGCCTCCCTCCCCCATTTATACATGACCATAAGTCTCCAGGAAGCTCTTTAATGACATTCTACAAGGACATTATTATAAATGTTTTCAAGTGCTGCCTTTAAATGTGTGCCTCACCCTTTGTCCTGTTCTTTGTTTGGTGCCCCTTGCACCAAATGCCACAGTTGCATAATCTTGAATAGGTGCCAGAAGGAACAGGAATTACCATGTGAAGTAATTTCTGTAGTGGCTAAAAAAATTTAAATCTCAGTCTGCTCAGTGGGAACAGAATGTCAGGATAATCCAGTTGTTTCTGTGTTGTGAAGTTAAGACTAGTGAGAATTTTGTAGAAAAAGGGGCATGAGATGAGGCAAGTTAGAGCTTTTCTAAAAGTCTGCCAGTGCAGGCCAGAAACCAAGGACATGTTAATGATTTAAGATAAATAATATAAGATTATAGCACACCAATACTGAAGAGGTATTTTGCAGTACTGGTAGTATTTTTACTACAGAAAAAGAAGCAAGAACTGGTACATTTATATAGTTAATTGAAAGAAAATAAGTATTTCAGTCTCCCAGCTGTAAGGGGATTATTTAAAGTGAAGATACACTTCTAGTTTACATAACTGTGTCTTAAACCCATCTGGAACAGTAGTTTATCTGTACATAGAAAAAATACCTGATAAATTTGTATCTCCTTGTTAACACTTGACAGCACTTCTACTGCTGACAATATCTTTATACCATTCCCTAGGATGGACTGTGACAGCACTATACAAACATTTGCATTTTTAGCTAAATTCATTGGTGTCGTAAAACAAAACATACACGTGATAACAGAATAAAAATATAACATTATGAAATTATATCCTGCAATAAATTACGTGGTAAGTAGGAATCATTATAGTTCAAGGTTTAGCTACAATTTTACTTATTTGTTTGAAAAAGCTGGAAATGTATCATCCTGGTATTGTATATCATGCAAACTGTTCTGTGTGCACACACACAGAAGAGCATTACCATGTGTTCAAAGCTCCTTGCAGTCAGGCAGAGTTGCAGAAGAATGCAGGTAGCACATACCTCCAGAGAGAGGAAACGTCGGTCCATGTAGTTCATCAGCGCTGCATCCTGCATCAGGTACTGTGCTGCTCCCAGGGAGCTTGTGAGGAAGGGAACTAACAAAAACTGGACTTGCAGGACTCCCATCGTAGCATAAAATTTTGAAGCAGAATAGTAGTGAATTAATTGTGTGTGTGTGTGTGTGTGTGTGGAGGACAATCCCAAATGCTGCGAGTCCAAGATCAAAGACAAGTTAACATTGTCTGATGCCCCGATGTGGAAAAAGTAATACTAACAAGTAGTAAAAAGTTAAAAGTACTGTGGCTGCAAGTATGGAAAAGACTTAAAATGGCCGTTGCGTTTTATCATTAAAAAAAATAACGTTGTGGAATAGGGACTGAAAGTGTTTATTTCTAGAAGCCAGATGACTGCTTCTCAGTTTGTGATCCTGTGATCAATCCCAGATGTTCAGTATTGAGTCACAGAAAGCCTGTAGGCCAAATTTTATTAAATAAAAATAAAAGTAATTTATTTTCCCTCCTCTCTCCTCCCATCTGCTTTCCTGTGTGACCAGCACTGTGCAGTGTGTGCTTGGTGTAAGTCAGCATAGATTCATAGTCAGCAGAGCACAGGTCATCCTTTCACAGGGAGATCTGATGCTTAATGTCTGTAGCAAATTCAACAGCCACAGCTGTTACTGAATACTTCCAGTGTTCAGCCTACTTAGAGTAGGACTGCAAACCACAGATAAAATTATTTTAAAAAACAACTCCTTTTTCTCTTCTCTTCTCTTGCCAGTACTTTTCCAGCTAAAATCAATATCCTTGACACAGTTCTTGTCAATTTAGTTAAGTTCATGATAGATCTCTTCTTTTGGAATAATAATTCCAGTTAGGATGGCTTATCAATGAATTATAATTGACTTACATGAGTCTATTGCATTTGAGACAATACTTATTTATTTGATTTCATAATTTTTATGGCTGAATTCCTTGTCTGGAAATATCCATGGCTATGCTAACACTGTATTTGCTAGGAAACCCTGTGTTAGGAGGTTAGAATGCTCCCTTTGTGTCTGAAGCCAAACTGGAAGTCTCTATTTCTCAGAATTCTCCGCCTCTTCAATTTCCCTCCCCCCCATTTTTCTTTTTCTAGAGTTTTTTCTCTCCTCACATTTACAGAGCTTTCTTTTTCTTTCTGACCGCCTTGCATGCAAACCTGTGTTTTGTGACAGAATTCATGCAAGTGTGTCACAGCAGGCAGATTTTCACCTCTATGAGCTTGATTGTTGCGTGGTGGTTACATGTGCTTTGCAGGCAAGTTTCACAGAAATGTATTTTGTATTTCAGTTTTGTTTTATCCTCAGAGGTGTACACAATTTGCCAGTTCTTGTTTACAGGCAAAGTCAGTGGTGCACAGAGAGGCTAATCTGTGATTCTCTGCTCCAGTGTCATTTCCCATTACTTCAGAGCTCCTGCCTGGGAGGGCAGAAAGCTTGCCTACTTGGATCCTCACACTGAGAACAGACACAATAGGAAGTGTGTAGTCTTCCTTGATTATGTCCTATGGAACATCTTGACCTCATGCGCTGCTTTTCCACAAAATAATCAGCTACAACACTGGAGAAGAACAACACAGAAAAACCATCCCTTTTCTAACCTCATAGGTGAACCTGAAATCCTTCAGTGTTCTCTGAGGTTAGTATGTCTATCCCAATAATCTAAGGTAGTGATGAGGGGAGGAAGACTATAGAATTTGACAGGTTAATGTCTTCATTTAGGGGAGGAAGGAATCATACCCGTGTAAAACAAAATCTATCACAGTTTGCCTGTGAAGTTAGGAACATGCTTGGCTTAACCTATGACTGCAAGCTCTATCTGAAGGTAATATGGAGTAGCAACTTTATGGCTTTTAATATTCTTTTTAATTGCACTCTGCAGTCTAAATTGCCATATAAAGTAAGACAATAGCCTCTTTGGAGAATTTTGTTAGAGTAGGTCAGATTATCCGTCATAGCAGAACTCCTTACTGAAAGTTTTTCCTTAGAAATGGTATTCCAGTGTTGTGTGTGAATTTTTTATAATTAGAGACTTGACTAGATGAATAATACCTTTTATGAGTTTCAGGACAACCTTATTCCTGTTTGAATCCAGACACCTAAGCAACTAACATACTCTAAGCAAAATATCTCAAACGTACTGTCAAGAAAGCATATTTAAAAGTCAAGGTATATATCTGTAATTTCTTTTCTTCATCTTAAGACTGGGACAATTATCTACAAGGCAAAATATCTTGAACTGCTAAACACCCTCAAGAAGCTTAAACATTCAGTATATGGAGCTGGATTTTGTAAAGTTGCTCAATCATTTCTTAGAATTATCAGCAGTTGAAAGACCAGAAGCTTCCAAGGATTTCTATTAATGAGGCTTTCCCATGCTTGTAAAACTGTGATCTCATGGTAAATGGCAATGACAGTTCCATGACAAATGCACCATTCTGGGAAGGCATGTTATAGCCTATATCTGGTACAGAACTGAGCTTTGTTGGGTTTTTTTCTTTTGTAGTTTTTTTTTTTTTGCTTCGTTTGTTATTCCAGTTCTGTTCTGCCTATATATATACAGAAGTGTGACTTTTTTTTCTCTCCTACTTATTATGCATATATATGATATATATGTATGTGTGTGTGTGTGTGTATGTGTGTGTATACATATATATTTGATGATGATTTAAAGCAGAATTTCTTGGCATGCCTAGGAAGACATTGGTCTCAGTGCACAGGATGTTGCACACTTATAGAACAAAATGTTTGTTCTTATCTAAAGGAACGCTTTTTCTTGTGACCACTACTAGCTTGATTCAACAGACCTCTCAAACCTCGAAAAGGAAACAAGTGTGTTGATGTAAGTGCATGTGCCTTTTCACTGTTCTTGTCTTCTCTCTGAGTAAGATGATCTTTTCCTGACAATATCTCTTCTTTTCTGCTCTTATTCCAACTTTTTACCATTTGGTGTCTATTTTGACAGCTGTTAGAGATTTCCAAATGGAAAATTAGGCATTTTCAGCTCCTCATCTGTTTTCGTGGTTTTGATTTCAGATGCTGAATGGATTTTTCTGTGCTTTAAAAGTGATGTTGAAATCAGAGTGAATAGTAGATTTGGGTAAAAAACAACATTTCTTTAAGCTATTATTTCACTCATATGATTGCATTCTATGTTTTCTTCTTGTGGTTCTTTCGTGGGGGTTTTTTGTGGTTTTTTTTGTTTGTTTTGTTTTATTTTGTTTTATTTTTGTTTTGTTTTGTTTTGTTTTGTTTTTGTTGTTGTTGGTTTTTTTAAATCAGTTCCTTTCTGATATTTTAGTTGGTAAAACTAGAGCAGTGCCACAATAAATCAGGCTCTTTGCAGCAATGTGTGGCCCTCTATGATGCCTGCAAAATATGTTACTGTCAAGTAGAATGTGTGTAAACTATAAGTTTACTTCTTCACAGAAAGTACTTCTCCATCACACTCATGATGGAGAAATTTCATCTATCATGAGTTAAGGGTCTCAGCCATGGTGACCTCAAGAGTACTTCCTCAGTTCTTTGACTTGCCTCCACTCCCACTCTGGCTTCTTGTGGGCATGTCTGAGTTCACAGGAATCATGAGTGTTGTACCATCAAAGCCATAACACATAAACCCCACTGTGTCACTGCTGGTTCTGTCCGTGGCTGTAATAGATTCCCAGCGTGCTCTGTAAACCCATGTGGACACTTCTTTCTGAGCTTTGGGAACATCCCTGACTATCGAGCTCCATCAGCTTTCTTCTTTGGCTTCTACTGAGCAATTGATGCCATTCTAATGCTGTGCCCTGTTTTATTGCAACCCTAAAAGAAGCTAGGAAATCCCTACTCCTGTTGCTTAGTTCTGAGTAATACATATACATCAGATTTTACTCCTGAATTCCAGATTGGCTTAAAACAGGGTAAATTATGCTTTTCAGCTTTAATTAACCTCTACATGCAAAGAAATAATAGGTGAAAATGGAACATCAGAGTCATAGTCTGATTTAGAACTTTCTACATTACTGATTTTATACACACCTGCATAATTGCTGCTCAACCTGATGCATCAGTGATACACCAGTGCATGCGTGCCTTGCAGTTTTGCATCTCATGGTTATTAATGAAATGTGTTATAGGCGAAGAGGAAAAAGATAACTATCTGAAAGGAATTTTGTGATTGCAATTTTGTTTAGTTTGCAGTTGCCTACTTTCATAGCTTTTGATGCTTTGAAATCAGGCTGATGTTTTATATTAATAACATAGAATGCATCATTGTCTACTTGCATGTTTTCTAACTTTGTTCACACTTGTGTCTACAGAATTAAGTTCCTCGTTAGTACTGGCCACTATTCTGATGCTGAGCCCTGTGAGGTTAGAAAAGATTTTTGTCATAGTGGGAAATAAACACTTTTTGGGATTGAGGCAGAGGCCTCCACTAGGCGGCTCTCAAGTTCTTAGAATTGAAAGGCACGCTTGACTGAAGCACACCAATTCCAAACCCTCTGAACAAGAAGGAATGCAGAATGAAGTATGGTTCAGATGGCACAAAATGACAGGGAGACAGATGAATGGAAAGCTGTTCGTAAGCCAGCTGTTTGCAGGCTTTAGCACTGTGCTGCTGCAGGGCCAAGCTCGCAAGCATTGGGGGTGTGTGTATCCCAAAACACTCCAGAATCACAGAATAGCTGAGTTGGAAGGGACCCATAAGGATTGTGTCCTGCACAGGAACATCTCCAGGAGTCACACCATGTGCCTGAAACTCTTGTCTAAACTCTTGTTGAACTCTGTCAGGCTTGGTGCTGTGCCCACTTCCCTGGGGAGCCTGTTCCAGTGCCCAAAACAAGTAAAGAACCTGTTTCTAATACACAACATAAACTTCTCCAACACAAATTCAGGTCATTCCCTTGGGTACTGTCACTGGTGACCACAGAGAAAAGAGATCAGTGGGTGGCTGCCCCTCCTCTTCCTGTCACAAGGAAGTTGTAAATGCACTGAGGTCTCCCCTCAGTCTCCTCCAGGCTGAACACACCAAGTGCCCTCAACTGCTCCTCACACGGCTTCCCCTCAAGGCCCTTCACCATCTTCATTGCCCTCCTTCAGACACTCTCTAAGAGCTTAATATCTTTCTTATATTGTGGTGACCAAAACTGCACACCTGGAATCAGTAAGAGCTCGGGATGCCCAGTACCTGCAGGAAAAACAAATCGTCTCATCAAGTCTGGCTCTAAAAATGGAACCAAATAAATCCGCATTTTATTTGTACAGATTTAGAGATGGAGATAGTTAAATCATAGAATCATAGAATGGTTTGGTTTGGAAGGAACCTTTAGAAGTCACTGAATACAACCCCGCTGCAATAAGCAGGGGCACCTTCAAGCAGAGCAGGCTGCTCAGAGCCCCATCCAATGCAACCTTGAATTTTTCCAGGGATGGGCCATCTACCACCTCTCTGGGCAACCTACTCCAGTGTTCCATCACCCCTTTTGTAAATTTTTCTTTCATATATCTGC